TAAAATTTATAAAATTTGAAATTCTTTGTATAAGTTCCCTTCTTCTTCCTATGAGATTTTTTTAATATTAATTCAAGAGGAGGAGGGGCTCTAACATTAATAAGTAATTACTATGTCAGAAGATCCTGAGAGTTTCACTGAATAAGTATAATACCAGGTAATATTAAGTATTTAGGACTAAGCACCCACTTGAAGTACTTCACCTTCAGTTCATTTAATTTTCATAATAACCCTATGTAGTAGGTACTACTATTATGAATTCATTTTGCAGATGGGGGAAACTGAGGTCTAAAAATTTAGGTCAATTTAGCCAAGGTCATAGAGCTAGGGTAAATTGGGAGTCATAATTCAAAGCCAGATATCCTGCCTCAGGAGGCCCTGAAAATTGCACTCTGTTTGGCTGTTTCCTTCCATTGAGAAGGAATCAGATCTGCCTTCTTGGGTTCATGCCCCAGTCCCTGGGAGCGATGGGATTCTTGACTCTTCTGCCAACTAGGCATTGAGCTTCCTTGCTTCCTCCTCAGATTGCCCCAGTGCAGTCCTCTTCCTCCAGCCCCCTCAGTCCTTTCATTCATTCATTCTACTCATGAGAGGTTATTAGGCCCCTGAGAGCCTCACTATCCAGTTCCAGCTGCCAGGGGAGGAGGCTTGAAGTCTCTAACTCTGGGCCCAGCCTTGGGTCCTACACTACTCTCTGGATCTTCCCTCAAGTTGAGAATAAAAATGAACTCCTGTTTCTGCTAGAAAGTGCTTGCATTGGTTGCTATTTTCCACTAGTAGGTTCCTGTAGGTTACACCCAGACTCTCAGCTGTTTTATTTATTTATTTTTGGCTGTGCTGGGTCTTCGATGCTGTGCTTGGACTTACTGTGATGGCTTCTCTTGTTGCTGAGCGCAGGCTCTGGGGCGCATGCGTTTCCCTAGTTGCAGCACCGGAGCTGCGGCTCCCCGGCTCCAGAGCACAGGCTCAACGGTTGTGGTGCCCGGGCTGAGTTGCCTGCAACATATGGGATCCTCCCAGACCAGGAAGTGAACCCGTGTCTCCTGCATCACAAAGTAGACTCCTGACCCCTGGACCACCAAGGAAACCCCGTTATCATCTATTTTAAAAGCCACTAAAATTGAAGTTCTTTGCCTGGGGTACAAGGACTCGCTGAAATTTTATTTAAAAGCATTTTTTTCTGGGGAAAGGACCCATAACTTTTCATTAGACTTTCAAATAAACTCAGAATATTTATTAATTTTGACTTTTCAAGTTTCCCTTTTTAATTTTAGAGATGATATTTTTTCAGGATCTCAAACATTTTCACAGGACCTTGGAAAGCTCACAGGCCTTAGACTCTGTGCCCATAGCATGTGAAAAAACCCAATTGCTCTGCACGGGTTCCTAACTCACAAAGCTTAGGAAGCACTGTTCTGAAAGGTAACTTCCAGACCACCACCTGCTCTGTAATGTACTTTTGACCCTGGTAGCTTAATCGCCTTCCTTCCTGCTCCTCAGCCTTCAGAGTCAGTCTGTCTCTCTGCACAAACCAGGGATGAACCTACATAATTCTCTTTTTTCTTTCTTGGATTCTCCAGCTTTTCTCCTGATCTTGGGAGCCCATCCCTTGAGGGTTGAAGGGTACACCAGAGTGAAATATTGCAAACCCTCCTTGTGCAGGGGGCAGGGTTCAACGGTGCACAGAGGGCTGGAAACTCACAATGAGCCTTTCTCTCCCAATCTTCCCTTAACCTGTACTGGGTATGGCAGGATGCAGGAAGCTTGGGAATGGCAAAAGTTTGGGATATGCTGAGCTACGCCACATATTTTATTTTTTTCTTGGAATAATTTCCAAACCAGATCTGATTGTCACAGGGGCTAACAGTAAAGAATATAGCCAGTAAATGATCTGATATCAGCATTTCTAAAAAACTAAGAGATGAAATTAAAAAGAAACAAAATTGAGAAATTATAGAAAATTGAGTATTTTAAAAATTGCAGTGAGTAGCAGAATTTGTATTTATAAAAGACAAGAGAACCAGCAGAGACATGGAAAGGGAGTGGCATCTTTAAGAAACCCCAATGCCAAGGACATAGATTTCCAATGTTTCTGCACTGGCACACTGGAGTCATCTCTTTCCTCTCTGAACAGGCTACACTCTTCTTGGCTCTCTTATAGTATTTTTCCAAGCCAGGCTTCAGCAATACATGAATTGTGAACTTCCAGATGTTCAAGCTGGTTTTAGAAAAGCAGGGGAACCAGAAATCAAATTGCCAACATCCGCTGGATCATTGAAAACACAAGAGAGTTCCAGAAAAACATCTATTTCTGCTTTATTGACTATGCCAAAGCCTTTGACTGTGTGAATCACAATAAACTGGGGAAAACTCTGAAAGAGATGGGAATACCAGACTACCTGACCTGCCTCTTGAGAAACCTGTATGTAAGTCAGGAAGCAACAATTAGAACTGGACGTGGAACAACAGACTGGTTCCAAATAGGAAAAGGAGTACGTCAAGGCTGTATATTGTCACCCTCCTTATTTAACTTATATGCAGAGTACATCATGAGAAATGCTGGGCTGGAGGAAGCACAAGCTGCAATTAAGATTGCCGGGAGAAATATCAATAACCTCAGATATGCAGATGACACCACTCTTATGGCAGAAAGTGAAGAACTAAAGAGCCTCTGATGAAAGTGAAAGAGGAGAGTGAAAAAGTTGGCTTAAAGCTCAACATTCAGAAAACTAAGATCATGGGATCCATTCCTATCATTTCACGCCAAATAGATGGGGAAACAGTGGCTGACTTTATTTTTTTGGGCTCCAAAATCACTGCAGATGGTGACTGCAGCCATGAAATTAAAAGACACTTACCTCTTGGAAGGAAAGTTATGACCAACTTAGACAGCATATTAAAAGGCAGAGACATTACTTTGCCAACAAAGGTCCATCTAGTTAAGGCTATGGTTTTTTCAGTAGTCATGTATGGATGTGAGAGTTGGACTATAAAGAAAGCTGAGTGCCGAAGAATTGATGCTTTTGAACTGTGGTGTTGGAGAAGACTCTTGAGAGTCCCTTGGACTGCAAGGAGATCCAACCAGTCCATCCTAAAGGAGATCAGTCCTGGGTGTTCATTGGAAGGACTGATGCTGGAGCTGAAACTCCAATACTTTGGCCACCTGATGCGAAGAGCTGACTCATTTGAAAAGACCCTGATGCTGGGAGGGATTGGGGGCAGGAGGAGAAGGGGACGACAGAGGATGAGATGGTTGGATGGCATCACCAACTCAATTGACATGAGTTTGGGTGAACTCCAGGAGTTGGTGATGGACAGGGAGGCCTGGCGTGCTGCAGTTCATAGGGTCGCAAAGAGTCAGACATGACTGAGCAACTGAACTGAACTGAATAGTATTTACTACTGTCTATCTTGCTTTAGGATTGTTCTTATCCAAGTTTACTCTCACTCTCTATAAGTACCTTATTCATCTTGTGTGCATGCTAAGTTGCTTCAGTCATGTCCAACTCTTTGCGACCCTATGGACTGTAGCCAGCCAGGCTCCTCTGTCCATGGGATTCTCCAGGCAAGAATACTGGAGTGGATTGCCATGCCCTCCTCCAGGGTATCTTTGCAACCCAGGGGTCAAACCCACATCTCTTACATCTCCTGCATTGGCAGGCAGGTTCTTTACCACTAGGGACACCTCTTGACATCCTTCAAAATATCTATCTACTAAAGTTTTATATAACTCTTAATCATCTATTTGCTAAAGGGATAAGTGAATAGAAGTCAAAATACTATTATAGTCTTAAATGCAACAGATTTGCATCATGAAAAGGACACTGACTTTAAGGTATACTTTATTGGTCTTACATTGTTGTCTGTATAAATATAGAAATAGAAAGTGGAAATATCATACATGCTTCCTTTTCCTGAAATCTTTCTGATATTGGACTGGCCTACCTTTTATCTGGATGTCAGTGGTTCATGTTTATAGCAATCTTATACATATTTGCACATATCTAGAACTTTCCAGAAACCTTTATATGAACATTTATATTTATAATATTAGTGTAGGGGTTTAATTGGGCATATATCCCAATTGAGAGATGGGGTCTATTTCCCCTCTCCTTGAATCTGACCTGGCCAGTGACTGCTTTGATCAATAGAGTACAGTGGAGTTGTGCAGTGTCTGTCATAACCGTTAACAGAAGTGGAAGTTTCCACCCTGGTCTCTTAGAGCCCTGTATTACCCTAAGTCTGGCTTCCCTGAGGTGCCATGCTGGAATACCCATGTGAAGAAAGAAGAGGAGAATATACAAGAAATGAGGGGAGGAGAAGAGGGGAGGGGCAGAAGGAAGAGGAGAGGAGAGGGTGGAAGGGAAGAGAGCGCTCGGCCCATCCAGCTGAGGCCCCTGATACTGTGAAACAGAGACGAACCTCCCCTCTGTGCCTTGTTTAAATTCCTGATTCTCAGAATAGTGAGAGATAACAATAATAGTTATTTTCTAGACTTTGGGGCAGTTTACCAAGCACTCATAGTTAACTGGAACAAAACCTACTATAATCAATTATCACTTTAATTCATAAAGGCACGTATATAGATTATATGAAATAAAGAAATTAAGTACATATGTTACATTTTAAGAATAAGTCTAATAGGTTACTTGTGCAGAATTAAAGTGAGCTTAAGCACACCTGCTCTTATATTTTTGAAATCAATCATACATTTAATATTAAAATTTAGAAGTTTTAAAAAGTCATTAAAATTAGAAAAGTAGTGTTGGTTAATCCACTATGGTATAATTAGCAAGAATAAGATAATTTAAGTTGCTGAAAAGAAAAATGAAGATCCTTATTATGTTTTATATCTAAAGAAAAATAGAATGCCAATAAAATCACCAAAAAAATAAAAATAAAAAGATACAATCAGCTCTATGTCTTGGAACCAAATAATCTGAAAGCATGTCAGGGGAACCACACAAAAGTTGTGTGCTGATGGGTGGGAGGGCAAGAATTCACTGGGCTGTTTCCAGGAGACTCAGGTTCTTGGTTTCAGAGTTCCTGAGCTGTTCACTCAGGGTGCCTGAACAGCTCACCTCCCACAGCGTGTATTTTAGTATCTCAGCCACTGAGGCCCGGAAGCACGCTTGGAACTTCTTACTAATCAGGACGTAAAGGATGGGGTTCAAGCAACTATTGAGGAATGCCAGGCCGGTGGAGAGGGGGATGCCGGCCTGTAGCATTTGGTGGAAATAGCTATTGTGGTGAATCGTGAGTTCCCAAATGCTAAACAGGTGATAAGGAGTCCAGCAAATCAGAAAGGCCATGACCACAGCCAGGATGGTCCAGAAGAGCTTGCTGGAGATCAGGATGCTTCGCTTCTTCACCTTGAAGATGAGGCACAAGTAGCAAATGCTCATTGTTAGCAGAGGGAGGAGGTACCCAACAATAACTTTCACCCAGGTCAGAACATGATGCCTCATCAACCTGAGGTCCACATCATGCTCATGGAAGTTATTATAGCAAAGAGTGTGGTTATTCAACTCCAGAGTGTCCCGGAAGTACAGAGCTGGCCCACCAACTAGTGAAGCCAAAAGCCAAACAACTATAATAACAATCAGAGAGTTCCTGAGGGTACGGTACCGGTGAGATAAGACAGGGTGGATCAAGTAGATATAGCGGTCCAGGCTTATCACCATCAGGAAGAAGACACTGGCAAACATGTTCAACTGGGCAATGAAGGAATTGGCCTTGCACAGCCAGATGCCGAAGGGCCAGTGAAAATTCATGGCCACATAGGAGATGTACAGAGGCAGGAAGAGAAGAAAAATGAAATCCGCGATGGCTAGATTGAGGAACCAGAGAGTGGTGACTGTCTTCTTCCACTTGAATCCCGTGAACCAAATGACGGTGGCATTTCCTGGGATGCCCAGGACAAATGCCAAACAACACAGCACCAAGGAGACCCAGTGAATGGCTCCCAGCTGTGCTTTCTCCTCTGAATCGGTCTCCAGGGAGTAATACTCCAGGGCGTAGGAGTAGTTTTCAAAGTCTTCAAATAGTGTCTCCTCTAGATCTTCCATGATCTTGCAGAATGAACAAATCTATGGAAGCAAATTTAAAAAGAAAACAATTTAAAAAATTTATTTATAGAAAACAGCTTATAAAAGAAGAAATGTTTAGTAAATAATAAAGGACATAAGGATAAAAATACTTTATCTTAATAGGCACTGATAACAATTTAGGGACAAAAGGGAGACATAACTATAGAAGTAGAGATTTTGTATGAACCCCCTCCTAGAGTAATAGAAATCAAAACAAAAGTAAACAAGTGGGACCTGGTTAAACTTAAAAGCTTTTGCACAGCAAAGGAAACTATAACCAAGGTGAAAAGACAACCTTCAGAATGGGAGAAAATAATAGCAAATGAAACAACTGACAGAGGATTAATTTCCAAAATATACAAGCAGCTCATACAACTCAATACCAGAAACACAAACAACCCAATCAAAAAGTGGGAAAAAGACTTAAACAGACATTTCTCCAAAGAAGACATACAGATGGCTAACAAACACATGAAAAGATGCTCAACACTGCTCATTATTAGAGAAATGCAAACTAAAACTACAATGATATATCACCTCATACCAGTCAGAATGGCCATCATCAAAAAGTCTACAAACAATAAATGCTGAAGAGGGTGTGTAGAAAAGGGAATGCTCTTGCACTGTTGGTGGGGATACAAATTGATACAGCCACTATGGAAGACAGTATGGAGGTTCCTTAAAAAACTAGGAATAAAACCACCATATGACCCAGCAATCCCACTCCTAGGCATGTACCCTGAGGAAACCAAAATTGAAAAAGACACATGTATCCCCTTGTTCACTGCAGCACTATTTACAATAGCTAGAACATGGAAGCAACTAGATGTCCATCAACAGATGAATGGATGAAAATGTTGTGGTACATATACACAATGGAATATTACTCAGCCATAAAAAGGAACGCCTTGGAGTCAGTTCTAATGAAGTGGATGAACCTAGAACCTATTATACAGAGTAAAGTCAGAAAGAGAAAGATAAATATCGTATTCTAATGTATATATATGGAATCTAGAAAAATAGTACTGAAGAATTTACTTACAGGGCAGCAATGGAGAAACAGACATAGAGAATAGACTTACAGACATGGGGAGAGGGGAGGAGAGACAGCTGTATGGAAAGAATAACATGGAAACTCACATTACCATATGTGAAATAGATAGCCAACAGGAATTTGCTGTAGACTAAGAAACTCAGACAGGGCTCTGTATCAACCTAGAGGAGTGGGATGGGGAGGGAGATGGGAGGGAGGGTCAAAAAGGAGGAAATATATGTATACCTATGGTTGATTCAGGCTGAGGTTTGACAGAAAACAACAAAATTCTATAAAGCAATTATCCTTCAATAAAAAATTTTTTTAAAAAAGAAGTAGAGATTTTGTAAATGAGAGAGAACTATGAAAAAAAATACTTGAAATATTCGGCAAAATGTTTCTTAGAAAAAAATGTATTCTTCCAAGATGGACACAAGTAGAAACAAAACCTGAATAGACCTACAATCATTAAAGAAATATCATGAATTAAATAATTTTTTCCCAGACTTTCCTGGCAGTCCAGTGGTTAAGACTCCTTGTTCCCAATGCAAGGGTTTCAATATATGATCAGGGAACTAAGATCCCACATGCCACACAGTGTGGCCAAAAAAAAAAGAAGCATTCTTTTTCATGTTATGAACTAGAAATAGTATATTTCTTGGTAGGACTTGTGATTAACACTCTAGGTGTCCAAGTCTTTGTGGACCTAAATTTTGCTATAATCATTCTCAAAGCTGTGAAAGTTTATTTTTGTAAGATATTCAGTAAGTGCTAAATTAAAATGATTCACACTATAGGTGCAATTTCTATGTTCATAATGTTTGCAGGGCTGACTCGAGAGAATCTAACATTCAAGTACTTATTAAGTTCTTACCAGGCATTATTATTTTATGGAAGATGCAAAAGAAAACAGATTAACATTTATGTGTGATGACTTCAACCTCTTTATTTGTATCCATGAACCTGTTTACAGAGAAGAGAAGGAGACGCAGATATAGAGAATGTGGACACAACAGGGGAAGAAGCAGCAAGGAGAAATTGAGAAAGCAGCGGTGACATGTATACACTTTTTAAAAAATACACATATTTTATCATGTGTAAAACATGTAAGCAGCAAGCTGCTCTATGACACGGGGAGCCAGCCTGGCACTGTATGGTGACAGAGAGAGATGGAATGGTGGGGGGAGGGAGGCTCCAGAGAGAGGGGCTATATATATAACTGTGACTGATTCATGTTGATGTACAGTGAGGCCACTACAACACTGTAAAGAAATTATTCCTCTAATAATAATAATAAAAGACTTCTGAAAAAAAACTTTAGTACTCTGACTTCTTAAGATCTGGACAGAGTTCCACTTGCTTCCTTGGCTCACCACCTGGATGTCACAGGCAAGCATTGGAGATTTTGACCCTATTTGGCACTCCTGGATGTTCTGATTCTGTGTTTATGAATTCAAATATGTTCATCAAAATTATATCAATATGGAAGACTTTTCAACTAAAAGATACATTTTGGAATGAATTTGACTATGCCCACTTAATTTCTACATTAACTTCCTATAGAGTGCATTTAAGGGAAAGGCTGCCCACTCCAGTATTCTGGCCTAGAGAATTCCAAGGACCGTATGGTCCACGGGTCACAGAGAATCAGACAAGACTGAGCGACTTTCACTTTCAAACTTATTTAATTTATTATTGTACTGATATTTCTTTGTTTTGAATTTAAATTCTTTTCTACATTACAACAAAGATTTACTATTCAGTTTTATTTTGCTTATTTTATCTATACCAAATGTTATCTATTATAATTTCATCCAAGGTAAATTTTTTTCTGTGGTCTCTTTTTTCTTTCCTGCTATCAAGTCTAGTTTCCTGGGCTAAGAAGACTTAAATGTCAAATTTTCAACCAAAACAAAGCTTATTGGGTACAATTCTGGCTTCATCAATTTATTTTGCTATTTCTATCTCTAGTATTCAAAATCAAGTAGAAAAAATACTAGTAGTTATAGTCATCTCATGGAGCTATAATCACTAATAGGGCAGATATATAAGATTTGAGATTATAGTCGAGTTAGAACGAAGAGGTCAAAACATCTTGTATTGCTCACAGCCATCTCAAGCTCAGTTTGACTAACACTGAATTCTTCATCTTATCTAAATTCATTTGAGGAAGCTACTGAGCATAATAAACTAAAGCAATTCATTAGCATCTTCCCAAACCCAAACTCAGCCAACTTCTCTTTAGTTTTCATTCTTCAGCTCAAATGCCACCTTTTCTTGGAAACATTTTCTAACATTACCTCCCCCTCAGATAATTATATTAATAATACTTAATAATAGCTATTATCATATGCAATAGCCAATGCTGTTGGGGATTTCCTGGATGCTAGGCATATATGATCTAATTTGATTCTTGAAAAAAATCATGTAAAAGTGCATAAGTAATATTATTTTCCTATCTACAAGGAAAAATACTGAAGCTCTGAAAAGCTTAGTGACTTTCCCAGTATCACAGCAACCTATAATTGGAGAGTCAGAATGGAAACTCAGCTCCATTGAATGCAGATCCTGAGCTCTTAACCATGTGACATTCCCCTCTTCTGTCCCACTGCTCTTACTGTACTTAATACATTACGCTTTCATTGACTTCTCTTTGATTTCTGCTCTCCCAAACTGTGAATTCCTCAAGAATGAGTGTCATCTCTGGACCCCACAGTGCTTAATACAGGGCTTAAGTTGCTCTGCTTAGTTGCTCTGTCATGTCTGACTCTGTGACCCCACAGACTGCATAGCTTACCAGGCTCCTCTGTCCATGGGGATTCTCCAGGCAAGAATACTGGAGTGGGTTGTCATGGCCCCCAGGGTATCTTTCTGACCCAGGGATTGAATCTGGGTCTCGTGCATTGCAGGCAGATTCCTTACCAACTGAGCCACCAGGGAAGCTACCTTTTTGGTGCCTGTGACCTATTCTTTAGGCTCTTAGCAATCCTGAAGCAAAATGGCCTGGAATCACCTTACAAAACCCAAAAGAATGAGTAGATGGAATCTCATTCCCCAAACAGAGAAGCCATTGGAGGACCTCTAATTGCACACAGAAGGAAATGGCAACCCACTCAAGTACTCTGCCTGGAAAATCCTACCACTATTTTCACCAAGTCAGGAGCTGTCACTGCTGACCCTGGTGGGTCAGAATGGTCATAGGGTCTGCTGAAGGATGCCAACCACCCTTCTTCCCAATTCTCTTGGGGCAGGAGAATTACCTTGAGGATGAGTGATCTTTCCAAACAGAATCTCTTCAAACAGAAAGCCCTGTTCCAGAGAAACTGCTAATCTTCCAGAAAGCAGATGCGTAGGTTAGATGCAATGACCAGTTTAGTCTTGGAGAAAGATCTTCAAGAGGAGTTGCATCCTGCCCAGCTGAAGCCTTCACAGGACATATAAGCTAGGAATTCCCCTGTGACTTACAGCAGATGTTTTTGTGTGTTGGTGATGGTGAGAGGAGTGGGATGGAGAAAAGAGAAGTAAGGCAGAATTCAAAGACTACCCTACCAAGTCCTTGGCTAGACAGCTAACCCTTGAGGACATACTCTTAATTATATGCCTTGCTTGTATTGGGTTGGCCAAAAAATTTGTTCAGGTTTTCTGTAACATCTTACAAAAAACTCAAATGAACTTTTTGGCCAACCCAATACTTTGCTTTACAGTTTACAGGTGCCTCCAGATCGAATTAAGTTCCCAAATATTTAGACGCTAACTTTATTAGCTTCCTAGGACTGCTGTAACAAAGTGCTCTATGTTGAGTAGCTTAAAATTACAAATTTTTTTGCTTCAAAGTCTGGAGAAAACTGTTATCTAGGTGTGGGCAGTCATTTCCTTCTGAGGGCTATCAGTGACAATCTGTTCCATGTTTCTTGCCTGGATTCTGGTGATCTGTTGGCAAACTTTG